GGTTTAGGAAAAGAAGACCATCATTTCTGGAAGCAAGTGGGAAAGGCACTGCTATGCACATATACACTTTTTGGCATAGCGTGGCTTTGGAATGAAACTTCACCACTGGGTTGGTGGACGCTGAAACCGAAACCTAAGGAAGAGAAAGAGCTGGCTTATTTGTATGAGCGCCGACAGTTCCCTTACCCGGGCGACGAGGAGGCCATGAAGGATTTCATTGCTAAAGGAGGTATGATTGGAACAACCATTGGGCCAAAAGGGGTCATTGAAACGGATAAAGATTCATATAATTATCAGAAGGCATTGCAAGACAAGAAGTTTGATCAGGAGGCTTTGAAGCTATGGTCGAGGATGAGAAATGAGGTTATTTCTGAACTTCAAGATAAAGGATTTGGTGTTGAATGAATGCTTTTAGTAAAGAACTGCTTTTTTATGTCTAGTATTTATCTCTTATGAATATTGTGATTTTGTGGGCTGAGACTTGTTGATGTTTTGCGTTTTCAGTATTCTTGGAATGGATAATTGGATTTCCTTTTTCTGTTTTTATCTGAGTGGAATAAAACAATAGCTGAGTGTATACATCAATCATCCGAGGATGGTATGTATGTTCACTACTTCACTTGTCGTCTGTGTAAAAATTATTTGACTTCCATTGATGAATAACTTATTATGAGCTATGTCTAGTGTTGGTTGTGAATTTCTCTGTAGCCTGACTAATAACCTCTCAATGACTTATCTCGTGATATGCAAATGTTTTTCCATATGTTTGGATTTCTAGGTGAGACATTGGTTCCTTGGCTTGTACCGTAACCCCAATTTCTGGCGATACAATGAATGAGAGTCCAACTACGTTGCATTGCCAGAATTCATGTTGTGTATTTGAAAGAGGTTGACCTTGCTTCTCTCGTGTACATGCCGAGCCCCTTTTTAACTTCTGAATGGAACCATTTCTAATTCTACAACTTCATCCAAATTCCTTTCTTTGCTACTAATATAATACTAATGCATTTGAATATGGTGGGTCGTGGGGGTGGAATTAATTGTTATCTCCTATTCTACCACTTGCAGAATTGATCTTGCCGCAATTGAACTGAAATATAAATCATATATGGCCTTTCTATCAGCTACATGAGATTGAAAACTCGAGCTTGAATTCCTCCATTTTCATAGTCCTATAACATATATCTTTAGTCCTTGAGAAAGGTATTGATTGCATTTTAATGCCGTATATGGACTGGACTAATATATGCGAGTAACACAAGACACGAGATATTTAAAGCCAATCTCTTAAAGTTTTCATCAATTATTTTCTTTTTTTTCTGCTAATACTCGGAGTTTTTTTCTGCTTCTCTTTTGAATGTGACATAAACTAGTGATCTTCCTCAATAGTACAGTGAAAGGGACGTGACTGCTAAGAAGATAGGAAGTGTTAACTACTTGATCAGAAAGCTTAAATCGTTAAAGAGGAGCACGTGCATTTATTTAAATATTTTCTCCAACATGAACTTCAAGTGAAGACGATATTGATATTTTATCGAGTATCTAACATGCGTAAAATATTAAAATCGATGGTAATGCTGCATAATTATGCATAAGCTTAAAAGTTTTCGATCATCGAAAGAACTAAGAAGGCCAATGCCAAGAAAGAAAAAGACAAGTTTATGAAGATAAAGTTTTTGTCAATGTCTCCTGTAGTGATTTGACTAGCACGGTGTTGGATATACTTGGCTCTAATTTCCTTCAATGTTCACACAGGTGGGATGTTTAATTGGCAGTTGCCACAAAGACAAGTTCACAAAATTGGCTGTATTATGGTGAATTTTGTAATTTTTTTTCTGTTCTTTTCGTATAGAGACTAAAAAAATATGTTCTTTGATACCGATTATGAAAAAATAATATATTTAGTTTAATTTTAAGTATATATCCTACCTGCTACCACTTAGGGTGGCCTAATTTCTTCTCTCTCATGCATACAACATGTTGGCTCAATTACTTGCATACCATGAACATCTGGCTAAAGGGTCGAGAAATAATTGTAGATGATGATGATAAAATATCTGCCTGCCACCATTTGAAACCCTCATTTTCATACCCCCAAACTCCAGCTCACTTGCACATGAACTAATGAATTTTGGCCCAAATAATTGTGTTTTTGACCTTCTTGTTTATCGTAACTTTTTTGGACCTATCTTAAGGATACTTCAAGCTTTTTCACTATTATGCATGGTCAATGGAGATATGCGTCATTTAAAATTTGAAATAAGGGAGGTTTTGTGTAATTTTTGAAAA